CCATGACTCCCTAGCACTAACCCTTACCCTTAAATTGGACTCAATTTGCACTATTTCTGGCAGTCTGCAAAGAATAACTTAATTGTAGTAAATGTAGTAACCTATGATGACAGAATAACAATGTGGAAAGAAGTATAATTTATTTGGCATTGTTTATCTTGGATGATTATGATTCTGATGTCCTTGATTCAATGGACCTACTCATGAGGCCAATCTAGTCATGGCTGGAGGAGTGGCTAACTCCACGGAAAACCCAGAAGTGTGCTGATCTGGCCAGAAGCAGAGCAAGTAGATGATTGAAGGTGTTGGGAGTAGTAGTTTTTTTGAGGTCCTGGGAATGTGGTTATTGGAACAAGGAAAATAAATCTGCAAATAAAAGTAGAGCAGAGGTGAGAAAACCCTGAATATTTAATCTGCTAATTTTGCTAAATCTATGCATGGATCTATGCATGGAAGGAATCCTGCTTTCTATAAGACTATAAGTTGGAGACTGAAAAGAGATTCAAGGAGACATTTAAAAAAAACACTTGGCAAGGGACCTTTTTGCAATTGTGGTCTGTTCATCTGATGTATAGTTTCTTGGAATCAGAAATTAGAGGACTCCAATGTGAAGAAACTTTATATTCAATGAGATTACAGAATTACTGAGTCTCTAAATTATGAAATTGTGCCTTTGTCTGTTTGCCTTGGTTAGGTTTGGCTTGCTGCAAACCACCTTTTGTTCTCTTGTTTGTCCCTAACTTCTACTTTGAGGTCAGATGTGCTTATATTAATATATCTTGATAACAATAGAAAACCTTTGAAAAGAGACTCTAAATGCTTACAGAGAGTTAAAATATGATGGATTTCAGAACTGATTTGAAGCAACTGAAGTCCATCCTGTGACCCTTTGAAGAAGAATTGACACTGCTTCTGATTTTTTCCTTTTGAATATGAATATATTGTCAAAGCTATAAGCTGATGTAGATGTTATAAGTGTGTAAAATAGAGTTGGTTGGTCAAGCTAGAATTAAATTTGATGTAATCAAAATTGTGAAAATAATACTGTATTAGTAATTGTTTGACATTTTATGTTCTAGTCGCATACTAGGAATAAAGGAGTAAGAAACTTGGATATAATAATAACATTTTGTAATTTGAGTCCAACTGATACTCTAGAGATATCAATGACTTCTAGAAGCCAAACAGTCAAGTCTCAGACATCACAACCAAGAAGGCAATCAATAGAACAGGTTAAAATGCCAGATCCCAATCTAACATTATTAGAAGAGATTAAAAAGATAGGTTTGGAATTAGGCAAGAAATTAGATTATCTTAAATAAGAGATGTGTGACTTTAAGGTAGAAGTTTGGAACAATTTTAAGACTGAATTATAGGTGATGAGAAACTCAGTTGATGAAGTTTCAACAGAATTTACAAAATGTAAGAATAAGTTGGATAGATTAGAGGGGAGACAAGAACAAGTTGGAATGAAATGAAATTAAGAGAAAAAATGTGTTAAACTAAGAGGAGTTCCTGAACAGGAGAGAGAAATTTTATATTTAGATTTGATCCCAATTCTAGCTGATTACATGGGAAAGAAAACATATCTTTATGAAATGGAGATTGATAAGATGTACAAACAGAACTCTAAAACAGCACAGCAAAAAAATCTCCCAAGAGACATAGTAATTTATTTTGTTAGGAAATGCACTAAAGATTTATTTTTTAAGAAAGCAAAGAGAAAGCCTCTTGAAGAATAAAGATGAAATAATTCAAATTTTTAGGGACATCCCAGGTTGGGTTTTGAAAAAAAGAAAGTATGCATTCCTTATGAGTTGGCTGAGGGAGAATGAGGTGAATTATGGATGATGGATTCCAGAAGGATTAACCTTCTAGTACCACAGGAAAAAAATGGGAAATTAGATCTATAGAGGAAGCAAGAAAATTCTTGAAAAATTAACAGAGGTGATCTTGGAAAAGGGAAAAAGTGAGAATTTAATAGACAGAATAAAACCCCAAAGGAATTAGGAGAACAAGGAAAGAAGAATGCAGAAGTTCCTCTGATGGATAAAATGGAGAGGGTGATGGGAAGAATGGAGATAGAAGAGGGAGATGAATTTACAGATGAGATAAATGATAAAAAGGAAGTAAGTAAAGGGCCAGAACAGCAAGAGGAGGAAGAAAAAGGTAATGGTACTGAGAATGAGAGCCTAGGTAGGGAGACAGAGGGAGAACTTTTAGATTCAGACAGCAGTAAGTAGACATAACAAGGCCCTGTCTTGGAACGTGAAGGGTCTAAACCAGGGGTCGGCAAGATTTTCAGACCTGGGGCCGGTCACTGGTCCCCAGGTCTTCCACCAGGCCGGGGGGGGAAATGGTGACGTGCGCATGCAGTACTCCAGAAGTACTCGGCGCATGTGCAAATGAGCTGAGGCTGCCATTTTGTTTTCCAGAATGGTGGCCATGGTTCATTCACGCATGTGCAGGAATACTGCACATGCGCAAATGAGTCATGGCCGCCATTTTGAAAAACAAAATGGTGGCCGCAATGCATGCAGCCCCCGGGCCATAGGTTGTCAACCCCGGTCTAAACAATGTGATTAAAAGGAAAAAATATTTCTGTACTTGTCAAAATTGAATAATGATATAACATGTCTACAAGAGATTAAGATTAAAAGAGAAAATAGACATTATCTTAAAAATAGTAAGCTAGGAGAAGAATGTGTCGCTACTCCCTAATAAGAAAAAAGGGGTAGTATTACATATACAAAATAAATATGATTCAAAGGAAATGTTTAATGACCCTAAAGGACACTATGGGCCTCGGCAGACGACTAATTGGGTCGTCTTCCAGGCCCGGAAGAGGAGGGGCAGCCGCACGTTCGGCGCCCCTTCCTCTTCCTGAGGTCGCCCCTGGAAGCGCCGGCCATCCACACGGCCGGCGCTTCCGGGTTGACCTCACGCCGCGGCGACCGCACTCGCCACGGCGTTTGAGTCAGGGAAAGTGCACCCGCTGCTTTTGGGGTGCACTTTCCCTGAAATCTAAAAGGAGCACCAATTTGGCGCTCCTTTTAGATTCGCCGGAGGAGCGCCGCGATGAGGCTGCCATGGCCCCGCGGCGCTCCGGACCAGGGCGTCCTGGACGCCCTGGTCTGCAGAGGCCCTATATTGGTGTTCGAACAGACATAATGGGAGAGAAGACTTTAATTTTAGGCATTTATGTTCCAAGTGAAAATAAAGGGAAATTTATAAAGAACTGTAAATAAAATGCAAGGCACAAACTTTGACTCTGTAATTTTGATGGGGGATTTTAACGGGGTCATTGAACCACAGTTAGACAGACTGGGGAAAAGATTAAACATAATCAGGGGAAACTCCCTAGAACCTTTTTTAAAATAATGGACATTTTTTCATTGGTTGACTCTTGGAGAGCTATGTACAATCAAACAAAAGAGTTTAGATCCAAGGTGGGAAGGAGGGTCAGGGTACCAGGGCTAACCCTCCACTCTCCCTTCCACCTTGGATGCCTCTCGGGATACATACAAAGTGGGGAGGAGGTATCATCCTGGGTTGCATCCAAGGTGGAGGGAAGAGTGGAGGGTTAGCCCTGGCATCCTGACCCTGCTCCCCACTTTGGATGTATCCCAAGAGGCATCCAAGGTGTAGGGCAGAGTGGAGGGCTAGCCCTGGCACCCTGACCCTCCTTTCCACCTTGGATGTATCCCGAGAGGCATCCAAGGGGAGGAGGGGAGCACTGAGGAGTAAAGGAAGAAGGGGCTGCTTGAAACTAGATCCCTGATTCCAGTCATTCCCTCCAATCTGGGTTCTTAAGGAGCCTCAGTGGTCAAGCAGCCATCCCAGGGCTCTCAAAGGGAAGCCCCACCTGGGAGAAGGAGAAGCTATGGACAGTCTGAATTGGGTCTATTCTTAATTGAAAATGGCATCAGGAATCAAAGACGTTTTGGATTTGATTTTTCACAATTGATTTTGGGACTCTAATTTGTCTTGATGGGTGAGGGAAGCAAAAAGATTCACTCTGAAGAGCTAAGAATAGAATATCCATATTTAGAACAAATGTACCTGGGATGAGATGTTTGAAGAAATCAATATGAGAATGGCTATTGATAATCGTACCTTGCTAGATGTTATTCAGTGGCCATCTGTCTCAATAGGTGGAGACAAGTCATACCAAAGTACATACTAAATAGAACTCTCACCCATTTTTTGATGAAACTCATTGTGCTGTGATACAAAAAAGTGCTAAAAGATCTGTAAAACATTTCCTCAAATTTAATGAATTAAAACTTGATCTGAACTTTTCTGATACACATACACACAGTGGGACCTTGGTATCCTGCAGTCCTCCACATACTTGCCCCCCCATACTTCACCTGATCCCACCTGTTGGACTTTCTGATTTTTGTATGTTGTAATTACATCCATTGCATTATTGGCCACCACTTTTTGGCTTTGCTGCAGTCCTGTACTAGCTGTGGGCTATTTGTATTCCGGTGCAAAGATGCGTATTTTCCACCTTGAGTTGGAGTACTCCAGCTTCTTTTTGCTCCAGTTTTTAGTCCCGAAGCACAGCTTTGTTTCGCTTTCCACCTGCTTTTGCCTCATGTATCATCTGAACATTCTGCCTTCAAAGTGGCTGGAAGCCGCTTTATTTTGCCCATCTGTTTCACCCACATGTGGAGGTTAGGAGAAGGAAATTACACCCAACCAAGGAGGGGAGGTAGCATAGAAACAAATAAAGGCGACAAAAGGATTTGCAAACTAGGTAAAATAAATAAATATCAAGGTTCAGGGAGATCTCCATGGAAGAATTTGCAACAAGGGACTGAAGATAATGAGGAGTGGGCTGACAGTGAGACTAATACAATTTTAATCACAGTTAAACTGGGTACTGAGCCCTAAGAGAGCTCTTGCTGAGAATTCTAAATGTCCTTCCCTAAACTGCAAATCCCAGGATTCCACAGGGAGCAACCATAGCAGTAAAAGTGGATTAATAGCACTATAATGTGGCCTAGTGACTTGGGTGTTGGTCTATTACTCTGGAGACCAGGGTTCAATTCCCAGCATGGCCATGAAACTAGCTGGGTGACCTTGGGCAAGTCACACTCTCTCAGCCCCAGAAAAGCCATGGCAAAACCCTTGTGGACTCAGGGAAAGGCAATGGCAAACCTCCTCGCAACAAATCTTGCCCTGAAAACCCCATGATAAGTTGGAAATGACTTGAAGGCGCATAACAGCAGCAGCAACAACAATGAGAGTATTGTCCATTAGATTACATGAGAGGAATGTCATTTCTCTCACATCTTTCCTAACATAACTTTTTGTATATGCAAACAAATATGGTGGAAACAGCAACGCTTACAAGACAGTATCAGTAAACTCAAGCCAACTCTGTGCAATTTGCAGGACTATTAGTAGTGTTTACAGAGGAAACATCGAAGGTCCTCCCTGAGCATTCCAATAATCATTCAATGGCCATGAAAAACTGACCAAGAAAGAGGTAAATACTGTGGGACAGGACATGGCATGTGGCTAGAACATTAAGAGAGACCACACAGGATAAGTAGTATCGTCTTGTCACCTGGGTAAGAACTTTAAGCATTGAAAGAGCTGTCCACAGAAACCAAGAGAACACCAAGAATTTAACAATGTTGGGGCTGATACAACTATGCAAAATCCAATCCTGAATAGGCTGTGCAAAATGCAAACCTGAAAGACTGAGTATGTTCAGTGGGAACAAAAAGGCTGACTTTTGTTGCAGCTACAGATTATGGAGAAAAATAATTAAGCCCTCAAGGAAGCACTCCCTATTTGAGTGTTCTGTTGCAGGACTCGTAAGGTTGGTGCTTCATTACTCGAGCAAACTGCATATGCTGATAACATTCTCATCTGGAGATCCTGCTTCATCCATGTTAGTATAAGGAAATGACAGGCTCAGAACATATTGCACACAATCATTTTTGTGAAGAGGGCATTCAAACATGCAGCCCTGCTCAGCTCAAAATGATAGTTGAGGAAAAGTTGTATAGCAAAGGGGTGAATTTTATTGCAGATGTTATCTCTCTAGTGTACAATTATGTCAAACTGCATATATGAATATTTTCATAGAATCATAGAGTTGGAAGAGATCACAAGGGCCATCCAACCCCTGCCATGAAGAAATATATAATCAAACCACCCCTGACAGGTGGCCATCCAGCCTCTATTTAAAAACCTCCATTCTCTGCACTACTCTATGAGGCAGCGTATTCCACTGTCAATATGCTGCCTCAGAGAGTGGTGCAGAGAATGGACAGCTCTTACTTTCAGGACGTTCTTCCTAATATTGAGGTAGAATTTCTTTTCCTGTAGTTTGAAACCTTCTGCTCTGGGTCCTATTGTCTGAAGCTGCAAAAAACAAACTTGTTCCATTCTAACCATGACATTTTTTCAAATGTTTAACAGGGCTATCACTTCTTAACTTTCTGTTCTCCTGGCTAAACATGCCAAGCTCCCTAAATCGTTCCTCACAAGGCATCATTTCCAGATCTTTTATTACTTTTGTTTGCCCTTCTCTGGGCACACTCCAGCTTGTCAGCATCCTTTTTGAATTGTGGTTCCCAAAACTGGACACAGTATTCTTAGGTGTGGTCTGACCAAAGCAGAATTGAGTAGAACTATTACTTCGCTCCATCAAGACCCTATACTTCCATCCCTATACTTCCAGCCTAGAATCACATTGGCTTTTTTTAGCTGCTGCAAGATACTATTGATTAAACTTGTGGTCCACTAGGACTCCATGTTCAGCTTTTGGTCTACTAGGACTCCTATATTCCTTTCAAAGGTAGTTTTCAAACCAGGTTATCACCCATCCTATATCTGTCCATTTAATTTTTACTGACCTAGTGTAGTATCCTACATTTCTCCCTGTTGAAATTCGTCGTTACTTTTGGCCAAGCTTTTTAATCTACTAAGATTTTGAATTTTGATCCTTGGTATTAGCTTCCCCTCTTAATTTGGGGATCTCCAAATTTGATAACCAGGCCCTCTGCTCCTTCATCCAAGTCGATGCTGAATACCACCGGGCCCAGGACAGAATCCTCTATCATTTCTTTCCAGGATGAAGAGGGACCACTGGTAAGTACCCCTTGGGTACAGTCAGTCAATTAATTACAAATCCACTCAACAGTAGGATTTGTGTAGCCCAGAGTTTACTAGTTTTTTCGCAAGAATATCATAGGGGACCTTGTCAAAGGATTTACTTAAATCAAGATATGCTACATCCACAGCATTCCCTTCATCTGCCAAGCTAGCCATTTTTTCCAAAACAAAGGGATATAATTAGTCCGGCATGACCTGTTTTTGGGGAAACCACGTTGCCTTTTTGAGATTATGGCATTTCTTGCTAAATGCTTACAGACTGTCTTTTTAAAGATCTGCTCTAGAATGTTTCCCAGTATTGATATCAAAGTAACTGGGCATTAATTATTTGTGTTGAAGATAGGGACATCATTTTCTGCTGGGATTTCTCTTATTCTCCAGGAATTTTCAAAGATTATTACCAATGGCTCTGAGATTACTTCTGCCAGTTCTTTTAATACCCTTGGATGTATGTAGTTCATCTAGCCCTGATAGGAATTCATTTACATTAACCAGGCATTCCTGTAGTAGCACTTTACTTATTTTGTGCTGCATTTCTTCTATTGCATCCTCTGCTCCGTTTTCCTTTGGTTGAGTATCCTTTTCCTTGTGAGAAGACTGAGGCAAACAAGGTGTTGAGTAGTTCTGCCTTTTCTGTTCCATTGGTGCTTCACCATCTTCTCCGCACAATGGCCCTACCATTTCCTTCCTTTTGCTATGGATACACCCCAAACAGCCCTTTGTATTGTTCTTAACCTCACTAGCAAGGCTGAGCTCATTCTGTGCTTTAGCTTTTCTTTCTCCCTACATGTGCTATTTCTTTAAATTCCTCTTTGGTGATATCCCCTTTTTTCTCTTATACACATCCCTTTTAAAATGAGCTCAGTTGAAAGTTTTTAGTCATCCACCTTGAGACACCTTGCATTTTTTCTTCTCATTGTAACTGTTTGAAACTGTGCCTCCAGTATCTCCCTTTTAACAAACTCCCACCCATCCTGACCTCCATTCTCTTTGAACTATTCTTGACCACAGGATCACACCCAGTATTTCCCTAAGTTTAATGAAATCAGCTTTTCTAAAGTCTAGAATGCGTGTCTGACTATGCTTGGCTTCCCCTTTCCACTGTATAATGAACTCTAGGAGAATGTGATCACTCCCATCTAAGGATACTGCCACTTGTACCCCATTAACCAGGCCATCCCTGTTGGTTAGGATCAGATCTAACCTTTAGAATTTTGAAATCCTGCCTGAAGTGGTTGGAACAAAGGATTAACCCATGTGTTGTAGATTAACTTTTTGGCTGAGTTTGACTTCCAGCAAATAACAGGTTAGTTGAAGTCACCCATCACTACTACATTTCTCCTTTCTGAGTGTGTGGTCATCTATTCTAGAAAGGCATCATCCAATTCCTGAGTCTCACTTGGGCGTCTGTAGTAGACTCCCACAATAACATCCATTGTTGCCCTCCCCTTTAATTGTTATTCAGAGGGTCTCTATCTGAATCAAATACTATCAGCCTTCCATATCCACAGATTCTGCATCCACTGCTTCAACCATCCACAACTTGAAAATATTAAAAGGAAAAAAAATCCAAAAAGCAAACCTTGATTTTGCCATTGTATAGGAGACACCATTTTACACCATTGTATATACTGGGACTTGAACATCCAGATTTTGGTACCCATGGTGGGTCCTGGAACCAAACACCAGTGGATTCACTGTATCTTGAACTAAATCCTAAAGTATACCCACTTACATAAAAGACAATTTTCTATTGATTTAATGGGTTTATCTAGTTGGGACTAAATCTGAACTATACCCGTTGCTAAATATATTACATACAAAGTTATTCAGTGTGGTACTCCTTTTCAGAAGGGAATGAGAAGTTAAGTCTTTGATGTTAAGTATTACTGTTTTCTTTGGAGAGGACTTAATTTTATAGGGATTGGAATTTGCATATGCCTTTCAACACGGTGAAGGCCCACGTTTTATGTTTATGTAGAGGAGAACAGTGAGCCAATGTGGTGTAGTGATTTGGGCACTGGACTAGGACTCTGGAGAATAGGGCTTGAATATCCACTCAGCAATGGAAACCCACTGGATGACCTTGGGCAAGTCACACACTCTCAGCATCAGAGGAAGGCAAAGGCAAGCCCTCTAAACAAATATTTCCAAGAAAAAAAAACGTGCTTGGTTTGCCTTAAGATCACTGTAAGTCAGAAACAACTTGAAGGCAAACAAGAGGGGGGCATCAAGTTAAAAATATACATATGCAAATATATGCATTTCCAAGTAAATGAATTAAAAGATGAAATTAAAGTCTCAGAACATCATAAAGGGAAGGATAAATGAAAGGGATTCATACCAAGTGTGGCAAAAACACAAAACACAGAAGGCTTTAAACAATTACTGGGCATTTATTTCACAGAACAAAGTAATATTTATAGCAGACACTGAGATCAATAAATAGCACAAAAGAAGGATGATGTTTGTGTTAAAGAACACTGATCAGTGAATATCAACATTTGTTACATGTGCTTTGGGGTGAAGAGTTTACAGCAAAGAACAGCTTATGTACTCCACGTTAAGTGACTTTCACTGAGCTTTTTAGGAGGATGAAACACTAACACCATATAGCAGCAATTCTAAACTTCTGAATACATTTGGATATTTTGACAGCCTTTATAAATATATTTTATCTACATTTTGCTTCTACTGAAGTTGATGAGCAAAAGAACAGAGATCACTAAGACAGACCAAAGCATCTAGTGGCTCCTTAAAGCAGCTTTCCTCAACCTGGTCCCCCTCCAGCTGACTACAACTGCCCAGGCAGCTGTGCAGGTTGGCATGAAAGTATCTCCTACCCTCACCTGATGCCACCAGCAGTGCTGAAGGCTGCCTTTAAAAACAAAACAAAATGAACAATTGTTTTTGTGTGTCATGGGTCCCTGTG